TATACGTCAGCATTTCTGTTGCTTACTTCTTTACTTAAGCCTGAAACTAAAACCCAGTCATCAGCATAAAACATTCTCCTGCAGCAGGCCATTAGCCTATTTACCAACATTAAGAAAATCAAGAGGAAAACCTCTCATTAATGGACTATTAACCCTCCTTTTCTTCCCATCCACTACATTTAGAACCCTGAAGAGTTACTGAGTATCAAAGTTTGGTGTAGCTTCCATTTGCCCGTTTCTTGCCCTTTCTCCAAAGCAGGGGTACTTCATGGCTACCGAGTCATAGGAAGTGCTACCAATACTGACCTATAAACTGGAGGGATCAGTGTTCACCTACAGTAAATCTCATCCATAAAAACTAATTTGTATTCTTATTTTATTCTTTTATTCATTGCTAATTTTCTTTTTAATATTGTCATTTTGAAACCACTGAAATATGATGAAATAGTTAACATGATGAAATAATACATAAATGATTAAAAAGAAGAGCAAAAAAAAAAAATTAAACTTAACCCACTGAGTGAGTTCTTCTGTTCTGTTCTTCTGTTTTCAGAAGACAAAGAGGGCACACCATGTGGTCCTTGAGGGCCCCTTGGTGGCCGCGGGCACTGCGTTGGTGACCCCTGCTCTAAAGCATCATTGTTAAAGTTTGCATACAATCACAAGCTGTCATTGTGAATGGAGTGAAGTTCATTAGTCAGGAATTCAGACAGCCATTACCATCATCTTCTCCCCAACAATGTGCAGGCAGACCTGTTGAGTTGAATATGGGCACTCAAACCTGACAGCCATCACAAAACTACAGAGAAGAGAAAGGATAGTCTAAAACCTTTCATCTGAACATTTCAACCTCTGGATTTTAATAAGGGGTGAAGCCTCTGGTTAAAACGCTTTAACATAATGAACTAAAGTTAAATGATTATCGTCGAGGGTATTTTTTAGTACTTAATTGGTATTACTGCTTCATTGCTGCTGTTTGATACATCGGGGAAATATTTACTCTAATACTATTTAAACTGAAGTTTAATTATTTATGCTGATGAGAACAAACAATCTCTGCTGATGAAACAATAATCATCACTTAAATTAAACTTTGACACCAATTGATATAAACTGGTATAACATTTCTCCACTGTGAGATCAATAAAGTCAGTGAATCAATCAATAAAGTAAATCACACACACATCATACGCGCGCACATTTGTTTTTAAAACATAAATATAAAAAATATAACCCTGGATGTCTGGGGCACAGTGATTCACCTACATGTTATGAATGCTGGTGTACCATAAAGAATAAAGTATGAACAGTTCGGTTTGTGCTTTCAAGTCTACTGCTCATAGGAAGATGTTACTTGGATATAACCTAACAGAATATGTTCAGAACAGCTCCAAATGACACAAAACTTATATAGTTGAGTAGAACATGATGTAATAACGTAAAATCAAAGCCTTTAAATTGAAACATATTTCATTTCAATTAAGTGTTATCAGTTTAACAGTCAGACTTCTTCAAGTTATAAATGTGTCAGCATCCTTGTGAATTATGAAACATTTTATGAAATACAAGTTAGGAACATTAAGCAAAAATCTAACTTTTTTTTTCAAGAGCAATGAGGTTATGATTTTTTGGTGTAAAGTTATGCCCACCACTTTGCCTGCCACGTCTTGACGTTTGACTTATGAGTGGCAAAAAGCCTTGTTGAGGAGAGGAGGACATTTAATCCCTTTTCTGAACTGAAGCCTGTAAGCTGTAGTGATTTAGATGCAGCTGATGAATCTCTCTAAACTTTGATGATCTTATGAACCTAGATACTTTCAACTCCTCACATCACTGGCAGGATTTGCTACAGATCCTGCTCAACAATATGCAGTCTGAAAAACAGCTCATCAGGAACTAACCTGAACACAGCTCACGGTTTGTTAGGGAGGTTTCTTGTTCCTTCACAGTGGAATGGCCGCATCCTCAGCTGAACCATCTGGCCATCCACATTTCTGTACATCCTGGACTAGAGATGTCCCGATCCAGGTTTTTGCACTTCCGATCCGATACCGATATTGTTTTTGGACTTCCAATCTGAAACCGATACTGGCCAATACCAGCCTATCCGCCCATGTATTTAAGTTTAAGTTAAAGTATTTAGCCTTAGTTGTAAGACTCGTGTTGAAAAGGGTTTTAGTACTCTTGATAACATCTAGCCAGCTGAATTAGGTGAGATTGAATAAAACACAATGATTGGTAACAACAAACCTACCTGTTTATTAAGAGATAAACACAAACTGGACAAAATTATGAAAAGCAATCTAATATTGCACAGTGAACAGTAAAACGTAAACAGTTAAAGGTGCTATATTACTGTAAGTTTTAATAAAAATGCAAAACAGACAAGAGTGGAAAATAGTCTATTAACATAGAATCAGGACTCTACTCTTGAAAAAAGACACTGCTTAAAAAAAAATCAGTGCAATTAATAGTTACACAAAAAGGCCTTATACTCCCCAATGTCCTCCACACCTAGTCTCCATCTACACATCGTGCAGGATAAAATAATCCTACACGGCTGACATTTTCCCCGCTATCTTCCAATTCACCTGTTTTAATGGTTAGGCTGGGAGACAGACCCAAAAAGACCTGTGGGTGTTTTGAAGGTGTTCTGGAAAATACGGACCGGATTCGGGGAACACAGGCGCAAAATAGTGGAATGGATTGTTTCAATCGGCGAAACTGGAAAATACGGACCAGATCGGCATTTTTACATGCTTTGCCGATACGGATTTTTTTGCCAATATCGGCGTCCGATCCGATACGTGGATCGGATCGGGACAAGCCTATCCTGGACCCAGCAAGAACATGATGATAATTGAGTTTGTTCCTATTTTTCTTGGTTCTGAGGCATTAAACTTTCATAAATTCTTGTGCATTTTTGTTATATTAACTACAGAATCAGATAACTTCTGAATAAATATGGATCTGGGAGTGGCAGCCTGGTGATTAGGTTATAGAGCTTGGAATCCTGAGGTTCTTAGTTCATGCCCCACTCCCATAGACTGCCATTCTGGGTCCCCGAGCAAAGACCCTTAACCCCACACTGCTCCCCGGGTACCACACAATGGCAGCCAACTGCTCACTAAGGGGATGGGTTAAATCCAGAGAGTTAATTTTGTTGATCTGTACTTGAAACAGTTTAATGACGATAAAAGCTGAAAAAAATTATCTCTTTAAAGTTCAGTGCTGAGCTCAGTATTTAAATGCTGCAGTTACAGTTGTGATGAAAATCTGCTGAGAATGGTCATTAGTGCATTCATTCCTCATTGTGTTTGGCTTTATTACTAATTTAAAGTGATGGTGAAACAATGGCCTGCTCTTTGCAGGTCAGCAGGGAGTTTTGCAGGTTTTGACACAGATAAGTGTCATTTCTTTGCTCTGTATTTGGGACAGTGCAATGACAACAAAGTTGAATTCTATAAGGTTGACTTCAAACAAGCTGATGCAGCTGGAGCCCTCGGGTGCAGCGGATCAGATGATTTGATGCTTAAAATATTTCCATACCTGAACTCCACAACTTCTCTGTCCCAACCTGTACGTTCTCACACATTTAAAACCTCCTTCTTAGCTCACTTTATTTCATTTCCATCCAAATCTCAAAATGTCTTCTCAGGATGACAAGAATTTTACAGAAACTGTCTTTCAAGCTCTCATACACATACTTTAAGATGTTGATTATGCTATCTTAAGATCAAAGTATCAGTTTGGCTCAAGTACCGGTAGACTATTTTCAGTCAGAGGCAGGCAACCTGCGAGGGCTTTTGATAATCTCCACTGTGTAATAAGATCTCCTCTGAATTATGTTTAATTGCATTCAGTTTATTTATACAGCGCCAATTCACAACACAAGTCATCTCAAGGCACTTTACAGTTCAACCAGATCATACAGTCAAATTGATTCAAAGTTTTCTATCTAAGGAAAACCAGTTGATTGCATCGACTCATTGACTCAAATGCAATTCCTCACACTAAGCATGCTTGTAGCGACAGTGGAGAGGAAAACTCCCTTCTAACAGGAAGAAACTTCCAGCAGAACCGGGCTCAGTGTCAGCGGCCATCTGCTGAGGCCAACTGGGGTTCAAGGAGACAGAAGGAGAGATACAAAAAAAAGCTGCAAAAGGCGGCCCCTTCCAGGAAACGCACGGCCAAGCGGAAGAGCACCAAGCCAGCTCCCAAGTCAGAGGATGAAGAGAGCACATCCACGGTCAGAGAAACAGGACTACACTGGAAAACAGGCCAATCTCCAGCATCTATAAATAAGGGTGTTGATGGAAGCAGCACAGCTGATATTTCTCTCCAGGATGACGTCACAGCCAAACAGGAACAGACGAGGCAAAGCTACTATGAGAAAAAGCAGAGAGAGCAGAACGTCAGAGATTGAACTAACAGATTCTGCAGAATAGGAGAATAGAGAGAGAATGAAGCAGAATGATGAAATGGTGGTCCCTATGTCCTCCAGAAGTCTCAGATTGGATATAGGTCTATAATTGACCAAGTCATCTGGGTCAAGAGACGGTTTCTTAAGCAGAGGTTTAATTACAGCAACCTTAAAAGCCTTAGGTACATATTCCTGTAACAGAGATACATTAATCTAGGGCTGAACGATTTTGGAAAATAATCTAATTGCGATTTTTTACTTTGATATTGCGATTTAATGCGATTTTTCTATCCTGGTTTAATTTCTCATGTCTTTTTAAACATATACAAACAAATCTGTTTCATAATAATCAGATTTATTTAAAGCACAGATTACAATAATAAACGAAACAAATCTGTGTGCGTTTACCTTATTAACATCTTCTCATGTTTCATGAAACGCGATATATAAAAATATAGACTCCACTCCTTAAACATTGTCAGATTTTAACAGGACAGTCTATAAATGAATAAACAAAATAAGAAACGAAATAAATCACTGATCTCCAGTCAGTGGCATCAAACATACTAAAGTGCAGCATAGTATATCGAATTAATTACTTCTTTCAACCTGTAAACATTTTAATAGGTCAATCAAACTCTCAAATAAACAGAAAATAAATTAGTGTATGACCTTTTTAAATCCTAAGAAACGTTTTGAACAATCATATAAATTATATATTCACTCAGTAAGAGCAGCAAACAACTATTGTAAAGTGCAAAAAACATATGGCACTGTAAGCCACAAAGATTTGTCTCTGTATTTTTTTTAGAAGCTCACAGATTTTTTGCCAGGAAAATCAGCATGTCAACTTTTGCTGGTTTCAAAGAGGAGCGAGTGCAAGTCACTATATTCCCTCCAGCACTGAAAAGACGCTCTGAAGGAGCACTTGTGGCTGGGACACAAAGATACTTGCGGGCCATGTTGCACAGTTGTGGAAAGTTAATCCTGTGCATCTTCCACCAGGCCAAGGGGTCTTCCTCTCCATCGATGGTAGGAGTCATGAGGTAGCTGTTTAACTCTGCCTCAACAACATCTTCGGGTTGCATGCAAGAAACAGAAGAGCCCACAGCAGTCTTGAAGAAACTCCCAAGAGACTTCTTGCCCTTTTCAACAGAGGGCTGTGCATTTTTAGGCATCGTTGTGGTTTCAGTACGACTTCTCTTCTCCTGTCAGATAACAAAAAAAATACAGTAATTAGTGTTGAGGTTAAATTATAACTAGAAAGATATATTGTGTTTATGGAATCATAAATGTGATAATTACCAACCTGGTTATATGCACGCCTTGCTGGTTGCATAATTTCAGTTTTGAGTCGGGTCTTAATGGTGGGAATGTTGTCTGCAGCGATGTACTTGGTTTTGAACCTTGGGTCTAGAAAGGATGCAACATCCAAAAGCTCCTGGATGCTGGGGTCACTGTACTTATCGGTGAGGTAAGCCAGGGCCTTGGTCTTAATTGACCTTGTCAGGTCAGTTTCCTCTTGGTTTTCAGCCAGGACTGATGTGGACAGAAGGTGAAGAACTGGTTTTAAGTAAGAGATGCTGACGTACTCCTCTCCAGAGAGAGCATCCGTAAACTCCTGGAGAGGATGCAGTGCCTTGTGAATGGACTCCAACACCTCAATATCCTGCCAGGTTGGGATCAGGGAGCGTGCATATCGGTCACCTGACAACACCTGAGTGATGGCTTTGAGCTGCTCTAGCACCCTGGAAATCATCATTTCTTTGGATCCCTATCTTGTAGGGCATTCAGTGATGAGGGAGTGCTCAGGAAGTTTGAGTTCCCTTTGAGCTTCAGCCATTGCTGCCTTCTTCTTCCAGCTGTGGGAGAAGTGCCCCACCAGCTTCTTGCACAGCCCTATTGCTCTGGACACTCTGTCATCTTTAAGTGCATGTCCTGCAACATAAAATTAGATTATTAGATTATATTATTATGCTGCAAATCTACACTTCATTTCTTAATAAATAATATTAAGTACATTTATATCTCGTAATTTGTTACCTTTTTTTTTTAATCAATGTCTATATCAAGTCTTGCAAGTTATACAGTTAATTCATTACAACAATACCTCCAAATTGGTATTGAATATCAGCCAATATGCAGAGCACAGGTACTGGATCATAAAATGAATGGATTGGTGCATCTCTAGTGAAAAAGGATATTAACTTTCACATTCTTTTACTCAACCCCTTACATTACACACACATTCTCTCTCTGCGCATTCACAATCACACACACCCACACATAGATATTCTCTCTCTGCACATTCACAATCACACACACACACCCACACAGAGATATTCTCTCTCTGCGCATTCACAATCACACACACCCACACATAGATATTCTCTCTCTGCACATTCACAATCACACACACACACCCACACAGAGATATTCTCTCTCAGCGCATACACACACACACACACCCACACACAGATATTCTCTCTCTGCGCATTCATAATCACGCACTCTCATGCTGAGATATGTTACGTACCGATGGCAAGATGTAATCGGTGCCCAAAACACTGCAGTCTGGTCCATTCATTTAGTTGTGCTGCCAACACCATGTTTGATGCGTTGTCCGTCGTTATGCAGATGTGATTTTCTTCCGGTAAATTCCAGCTAGCCAGTCCCTCTCTCAAGCCAGCAGCAATGTTTTCCCCTGTGTGGTCGTCCAGGAAGTAGGAAGCTTGAAGGCAGCGAGCTTTAAGATTTAAGTCCTCGTCAATATAATGCACTGTTAGACTCTGGTATGGCTGCGCTGTTCGGCTTGACCACAAATCTGTAGTTGTTGCAAAAAACTCCACTGTTTTCAGCTCCGCAGCAACTCTGTCTCTGCATTTTTTGTATAGCTCAGGTATTGCGACTTGGTTAAAATATGTGTGCGAGGGCATTGAATACCGCTTATCCAACGTGTGTACCAAAGCCGTAAACCCAGGCTTGGTCACTATACTGACGGATATCATGTCTTTCGCTATAAACTCCGTAATTGCCCGAGTTATTTCAACGTGCCGTTTCGCATTATGTTCATAGGGAGTAACACTTTCAAACAGTTCGGTCAGTGATCCCTGTCGGGTGGTACTTTGCTTAACTGACGCTGAGGCACTGGTAGTTGCCATTCTAGCCATGCAGCTATCATACATAGCCTTGTGGTGTTTTTTCAAGTGCTGATAGAGGTTCGTCGTGTTACCTCGTGAGGTAGCAACCATAGCAAGGCATGTCCGGCACAACACCTGAGTTTGCGCAGCGTCTTCTTTCTTAAACCCAAAAAAATTCCACACCAATGACGTGCCGCTCCTCTTTGGTACCAGACCTTCAGTTGTGTCGGTGTTTGTGCATTCTGACGCCATTGTTCAGCAAGTTAGTCGCAGACGACATCAGCTTTCCCTCTGTGTTGTTTGGCTAGCGCGTCACCGTCACGTGACCATCACGTGACCGTCAAATCGCGTCCATTGCGGTTAGAAAATCGCGTTTTATCATATCGCGATATTATTGCAAATGCAATTAATCGTTCAGCCCTACATTAATCACATCTGAAATGGAGGAGGAGATAAAAGGGAATACCTCCTTAAATAACCTGGTTGGAACTGGATCTAACATACAAGTTTAAGGCTTAGATGAAGACAATTATTTTGCTAACTCTGAAAATTCAACTGGATCTAAGCAGTCTATACCCAGTTCAGATTCCATGACTACCTCAGATACAATCGCGGATAGAGGAGTGCTAATGATCTTATTTTTAAAAAGATAAATCTTATTTATAAAGAATCCCATAAAATCATTACTTCTAAGAGTAGGTGGAATGGACGGTTCAACTAAGCTACAGTATGGCTCTGGGTGAGTTTGGCAACTGTATTAAAAAGAAATCCAGGATTATTCTTATTCTCTATTAATGAGGAGAGATATGCTGCTCTTGCTTTACAAAGGGTCCTCTTATACAGCAGTAAACTTTTTTTCCAGACTAGGTAGGATTCCCGTAGGCCTGTGGAGCAATATTTTCTCTCCAGTTTCCTAGCATTTTGCTTCAAAGTGTGCTGCTCTGCATTAAACCAAGGTGCAAGCTTTCTATTTTTAACGGTTTTCATTTTCAAAGGAGCTGCGTTGTCTAAGGCAGTACGCAGAGAACTAGCAACCTCATCAACAAAATCATCAACCTGTGAAGGGGAATAAACTAATATTTTGCACTCTGCAGCACTGCTCAGCAACATCAAGGAGAGAGAACGTGAAGCAGATTCTTTAAAATGTATAACTGCACTATCTGATAATGATCTACTAAAATTGAACCTTCTTTTTGGGGAGGAGAACTCTGTTAAAGTAATCCTGAAGGTTATTAGAAAGTGGTCAGAGAGGACAGGGTTGTGAGGGAATACTGTTATTTCTTCACATTCTATGCCATATGTCAGCACAAGATCCAAAGTATGAAGATGAGAATGTGTGGGACTACTCACATTTTGAACAAAGCCAATAGTGTCTAAGATAGCATTAAAGGCTAAAAGATGAACCACCCGCCACAAAAGCTAAGAGTAAGGCCAATATGATCCAAAACATTATCTATATATTGTTGAACCATACTTGAACCTGAAATATCCTCCTTATTTTTCTTTTAAAACAGCAAATTTAAATCCATGTCAATAGCAGGTAAAAGAGATGGATGAGGCAATGATCTAATAACTGTTTTACTGAAGTTTATTTGAGATAATTCATGATATTTTATAGTACTATCTTCTGTCCATCAAATGGTTAGGAGTGTTGACCAAATAACTGTAAGAGTTGTTTGATTTTCCTGATTGTGTTTTTATTTTATTTTTTTCATTTAACAGAATGTAGTATTTGGAACGAATGCTTACGTATTGATGAACTGCAAAACATATGAACCTGAAAGGGAGAAATTGAGAAGAGTAGTTGAAAGGACAGGCCAAGAAGAGTCTTAAAGGATTATTGGGAAATAAAGGAAATATAAAGGATATTTATAGATTAAGGAAAGCATTATTTAGTTATCTTCAGAATACAAAATTAAAAAATAGAATTTAATAGATGTAAAACAATGTTGCTACACACCCATGAACAGTAGGTGGCGGTAGGCACCTTAAAGATCCGCCATGATAGAAAAGAAGATGAAAAAGAAGAAGAAGGAACGAATGCTTTCATTGGATGAAAAGAAGCTGAGCGTGATTGGCTGATGGTATGGTTCATTTACATACATTGCTGAAGTTGCCAGCGGAGAAACAGCCGAGCGCACAGCTGGTGTTGAGCGCGGAGAGAGCAGGTCGAGCACGAGCAGAGACGGATTCGAGCATGCGCAGAGATGAAACTGAGCGCGAGAACAGTGTGTTGAGAGGGTTTTTCAGAGTTGAGCGCGCGCCAGACCGGTTTTGCGCATGCGCCTGTTGTCTCAATGCGCGCTCGGATTGGTTCCTGCGCGCTCAAACCGATAGCACAAATATATCTCCATATGAGTGGGGAAAACCGGTTAGAAACGTGAACGGGTTGGTGGTTACCAGTGGGTAGAGATCCACGACTATGCTTTCTACGTACAGTTACCCAATCACCTGGCTGCTCAGACACTTTTGGAGGACAGCTACGTGGGGGGCCTACTTTAACTCCTGCCTGAAGCCTGGATTCTAACTCTGACACCCTTGCCTCCAAAGCTACAAAAATACTACACTTATTACACATACCATTATCACTAAAGGAGGCAGAGGAATAACTGAACATCTGACACAGAGAGCAGGAGAGAGGAGAGGAAGAAGGAAGAGTTGGAAAAGAGTCAAGGGAGGGAGAGAGAGAAAAGCCATAGCAATGCTAAGCTAGCACTAGCCTAGGCTAGCTACTCCTTACTACCAGAAATAAAACCGTTGAAAACTGACAAGTGATCCGTAGAAAAGTGCAGCAGAATGTGCTATGTTTAAAAGTAGTTCTGGTCAGTAAGAGTTACTTAGATACAGAGATATCACAGAAAAAATAACCAGCTAGAGATCGTCTGGACAGCTAAAACACTCAGTTAATCCCAGAGGGAGAGAAACTACTAAGGAAGGAAAGTTGAGCGATAGGACAAATAAATAAGATGGTGGGTCAGAGAGGATGGCAAGAGAAGGTGGACACAAGAAAGAACTAGAAGCTCTACAGTGGATCTATTTTGGCACATCATTTGCATTGCTCTTTCCTCCAGCCTCCTTCCTCTGTCTCTTATAATCACACTCCATCTTTCATGCCTCCTCCTCTCTATGTGTATTAGTCGTCTATCTGATACAGGCTTGCAGATGGAGGAAAACTCAGCGGTGTAATTTATTCTGCTGTTTCTGCATGTGTTCACTCCTTCTCTGTGCTGACATCCGTTTGTCAGACACCTCTTCATCTTCAGAATTAATCCATTTGCCCATGAATCGTTCCATTCCAGTGTCTCTTTATGGGGAAGAGATTGCCGTTTGGCAACACATGCTGAAGGTTGAAATGAGTGCTGGTGTTGTGATGACTCAGTGGGTTCAGGGATGTTCATGCAACATCAAATCTGACTCAAGACTTCCTCTCTGTCTTGTTGCCCTCCTTTGCCCTGCTTCTGCATAAATGCTCGAATAAAAAAGGTTCCAGAAACTTGAAAAAGATGTGGTTTGATTTGAGTAAAGCTTTGGCTGTTATTATTATATGTTTTGGTTTTACTTTCCAGAGTTGCTATCCTTTCATTGTTGCAAGGAAATGTTTTATTTCTTTTCCAATGGTATTTCTTTTTCCTTTATTGCTTATTAATTTTATCTACTTTTTGCTCTAAAATTGTTACTATGTCCTTAAGAAAAGCAAAATGCTTGTTTTTTTGTAGAGGTAGCTTGCACTGTAATAATGTTAATTCAACCAGGAATGGCCAAGCTTTTAACATATTGATGTTGGAAGTTGGTAAACTCTAGATTAACACTTTTTTTTTGTTTCTTTAAAAAAAAAAATATATATATATATATATTGGAATGTAATGTATGTAGTTCTAAACCAGTTCGAGTGTTAAAAAGTTCAAGTTTAAATTCAGTCCAAGGATAAAAAAGTTCCAGTGTTAAACCAGTCATAGGGTTATATTATATCCTGTGCTTAACTAGTTCCAAAGATAAACCATTTACAGCGGAAGTTCTAGTCTTAAACAAGCTCAGATGTAAACACAATTTGTGGGCTGAACCAGTTCCAGATTTAAACCTTCTACTGTTTAGCCAGTTCCAGGGTTCTTTTTCTCTCAACTTGTCGACCAATGACTTTAGCACCAAGAGGTTCTGTGTGCATATTTATTTCTTTTAGTTTCCAGAATTGTTCTTTTTAGATTTTAGCCCTTGCTCTCTGTAACAGTCTATGTTTGTTTCTGTATATTTGCGCTTACTTTACATTGAAACTTGTAGTGGGGAAAAAAGGCTTTAATTTCGACAGCAGAGGACAATGATTAATGAGCTGGACTTTAAGTTATATCTCCTCCCATTTTTTCAACACTATTGCCTTATGCTTTTTGCACATAATTAACCTGTGTCACCTCTGTTCTGGTTTCAGGTGTCAGGAGGAATTGCTCTGACTGCTAGATGACAGACAGGCAAGCCATATAAGTTTAAATGGAGCAGCCTGGCTGTAGTACCCAATTGACAGAATAATGGGGGCTTTGTTGCAGCAGTTTGTTTCAGGATCAGAACTACTTAGATGTTAGGACTAAGACATAACTCTAAAGCTCTACCCTATTTTACATGGTCAGCGGAGGCAAAATCTATATAAGTGTATAAATTAAGCCTAAATAGATGGTTCTATATGTAGAGAGAGAAAGCTAAAGGCGTGATATTTTAATATGTTGGCATAGCATCTCTAACATATGCTTTACTCTGTACCAACACTAACACATTGTCCAACATGTGATAACATGTACACCTGTCAATAAAACATCTTGTATCACTTTAGATCCACCATGTTTGGTTCTAAAACAATCAGACTGCTGCCATTTACCATCTTATCAGGGATTTAGGTCGCACAGAAAAAATGTATGCAGGTTAAACCCTGACATTTACTACAGACTTGAAGAAATTTTAAAAGCTGGCTCAATATGTTAATGCATTTGTGGGAATTTTGTACTTTCTGCAAACAGAATAAATTGGGGGATAATTGAGAACTTAGACCAAAAACTTCTGGAGGCCTTACTACTATTATGTGTAACTTGTTACTTTAATTATTGCTGAACATGTCACTTATATAAATATGTCTATTTTATTTATTTTTTTTGGTACACCTCAGGTGCGTCACATTTAGCTTTATTGACCAGGTTTAGCAGGAAGAACTTACCCTTCTTTCAATAAGATAAAGACCCTTTGGACCTTTTAGAATATTGGATCTAGCTAAATTGGTTTCTAAATTGGTCTCACGTCTTACGGTTCAGGGAGAGTCCATAATGAGTTCAAAATTGTGGTCCCAGTTGTTGTTGTTGATAACTTTAACAGTTAGAAAAGAATAGAAATTACCTTTATTGTCCCTCAGTTTTGCATTGTATGTCATTCAGGGGTACTTGTAACAAAGATATGATGCAAACTTCAACAGGTTTTTAGGTACGTGACAAAAAGTTTCTTTTTTTTCTAAAGTTTGTCTTATGCATTCAGTGCACATAGACGTATGCTTAAAATGTTTTCTTTGTTAGATTAATGACTATGGCTTGTAGCCTAGTTGATAAAAAAAAAAAAAATCAGTGTCCTGTAAAATTTGACTTTTCTTGAATAGTGAAATATTGGAAACTCGTAGTGTTAGAGCCTAACTCCACAACTGAAACGTTTTAGGTTTGAGGTTGCAAAGAACATTTGCTACACATTTCTCTGGCTGTTTTTTTTTTACATTTATTTTCTGTTTATAAAACCTGTTCCTTCTGTTATAATTCTGGTCTTATTGATCAACGGTGTTGACATTCTGCTTTGCTCGAAGGATTTTGCAGAGTATATATATATATATATATATATATATATATATATATATATATATATATATATATATATATATATATATATATATATATATATATATATATATATACTGCGAAATCCTTTGTCATCTTCACCGTGGACAGGCTGCAGCCATGTCCCGAGTTCCTTGTTTTTCCGCCACTTTGGTTCAAATTAGCATTTTTCCCATTCACTAGCCTTTGCTCTGCCTCAAGCTTCTTTTCCGAAGCCATTTTAATGCCACAATTATCAAATTTGATTAATTTTAATGCCAATTAAGGTCTTAGTTTAAAAAATAATAATTTAATGACTTTAAGTTATTTTTAATGACCAGCGGAAACCCTGCAAGCTGACTGCTCATTCTTTCGCCATGCTAACCACACCGGCTGCGAATCGCTACAACTCAGCTCACCTTGTCTCCAAGCTTTATTAGTTGCATTTTTTGAAAGCCTTTATGGGAGTATGTATCCAGTGCCAAGACCTGATTGTATCTTGTTGTATCTTACTGATAAAACTGTTGCTAGACCACAAGTCTAGTCACTGAATATTCACTTCAGATCTCAGCCTTTTTGACCCACTTGCCTGAATCTGCCTCCATGGTTCTTACTCTGCTTCCATTCACTAACCATTGATTCAAGGCTCGTCCTTGGATCTGTTTGCCCGTTTTGTCAATGGCCTTTGACAGAGCCAGTCTTTCTTTCCCCCTCTTTACCCATGGTAAAGGGATTCACATCTCCACCAGAGTAGGTTAATGGCTTTTTTTTCAAGAGTTTTATTTAAATCATACAATTAGTCTCAGCCACTTGCCTGTCTCTCCCTTCCCAGTGGTTTATATAGTAGATGGTGAGCTGTGATCAAAGGATTTATTTTTCGATCATTCTATTAAATGTTCACATTAGTTTCTGACTTAATTCTTAGGTCCTAGGTCACACTACAGGGGAGTGAGTTGGTTACAGACCCAAATGCTTTTGATTTTGTATTTCACTTAATTTCTTTTTCCTTTTCCCGCTCCAATTATCATATCTGTTAATTCAAACAGACTTTCTATTAGTTAAAGGTGTTCCTATTTCTCTGGTATCATCATTTCCACTAAGAATTGGATCTATGCTACATACAGGGTCTGAAATGCAGGAAATGACACCTGGTACCCCAGTACCTAGGTGGCTTACTGTTTAGCATTTCATGAAAGGTGAGGAGGCATAAATCAATGAGGTATTGAAGGTAGTGTATCTGTTAAAACCGAAAGGGTTTTTGGTTGAGGAACATATTAGTAAACTGTTAGGAGGTCACTTTATGAGCTGCAGGGTATATAGCTAACGTTATATGTTTACTAGCGGTCGGAGGAATGGGTGCTTCTAGCTAGGGGTTAACATGGGCTAGTACTCTGTGGCCCTGTTATGGCTCCTGTGCTGCTGACACAATACTAAATCAGTTTATTATGCTGATATACTGTATTGTGTGATTGATATATGGTTATATTGTTGAATTTTACAGTTTTACATTAACAGTGATACACTTTTTAACTTAGACTTAGACAACTATTTCTGTTATTTGTACACATAGAATGTATACAAAATGTATTTTCAGACAGTGAATGAGCAGCAGTTTGGCAGCAAACTGAATTTTGTAATTTCTATTTTATTGAGATGTTGAAAATGCCTTCATATTTTATATCAAAATACTTCAGTGTTGTGTATTTTTGTATTTTACAGTATTTTCAAAATACTGTGAACTTATCAGAATTGGTATCGGTCATGAAAAGCAGAAAATTATTGGTTATCAATTGCAGTTGAAATTGTTCATATCATTCATCACTAATGTGGATTATCACTGTGCAGAAACAAAACAGAATTTGGCCTGCTCCAGCTCTAGTTGTAATTACTTATTTCAATCTGAAAAACTCACACAGAGAGAAAAGATAATTAGAAGAATTTATTGATAGAAAGTATAGTCTTTGGCGCTCAGACCTCGGCAGGAACATTCATGCTGAATTATGCTTTAACATGCATGAGTAGATAAATGAGAATAGGGATGTTCCCCCGGCCTGAAACTGGTGGTGGTTTAATCGGAGCTGGTTGACAAGGTGATCTGCTGAGCAGAATGTGGGACTAGAAGACTGAGGGAGCTGACGCCAGGCTTCACTCGGAGACTCGGGAACTGTCCATGATGAGCAAGCATGAAGCGACAGTGGAGAGGAAAAACTCCCCCTTGGGAAGAAACCTCTGGCAGAACCGGGCTCAACATGGTGGTCTTCTGCCGGACCAATGCGGTGAGACAGGGGATGGTGACAACTGGGATTAATACTCTCTGATGAGGTTGAGGTGAAGACGAGTCATGGATGACGATTCAGCTGCGATGGCGGGGAAGGGGATGGAGGTGGGTGAATTGTCGTCTGAATCGAAGTCCGACATTGCGATTGCAGGATAGCGCTGGGATGAAGATTTGGAGCGTTTATAAAGTGAGAGCAGGACGCTGATTGGGCTTGTGGTGGAGTAGTTCGAAGCTGAATGGCTCGCTTCGGAGACGGATTAGCTTCTGATTGGATGGAGGTAAGTCAGAGTTTCTTCAATTGAACTTCCGCTAGAGCTTCATTTCAATCTGAAAAACTCACACAGAGAGAAAAGATAATTAGAAGAATTTATTGATAGAAAGTATAGTCTTTGGTGCTCAGACCTCGGCAGGAACATTCATGCTGAATTATGCTTTAACATGCATGAGTAGATAAATGAGAATAGGGATGTTCCCCCCAAAAAAAAAGCCGAGGTAGAGGCCGGAAAGTCCGTATGCTCGTGAGGCATACGCTAAGGACAGAATAAAAGTGTGCGTAGAGAAATGCTGAGAAGATTTGAGAACAACTTACCGAGCCAGGTTGTTGAAGAGAATGGTGACCGAGGTTGACGCTGAAAACTTACTACTGAAGATGATGATGATGATGGTGATGACAAAGAATACATACCCACGATGACGATGATGAAACCATGGTGATGACGATGAATACTTACCCACGATGACAATGATGAAACCATGATGATGACGATGACGAACCTCCATGATGCTGATGCTGATGCTGATTCCCCCATGATGATGATGCTGATGATGATGATGATGATGCTGATTCCCCCATGATGATGATGCTGATGATGATGATGACCCCCGATGATAATGATGATGATGATGGTCCCATGGTGATGATGCTGGTGATCCCATGGTGATGATGCTGGTGATCCCGTGATGATGATGATCCCGTGATGATGATGGTGATGATGATGATGATGATGATCCCGTGATGATGACGATGATGATCCCGTGATGATGACGATGATGATCCCGTGATGATGACGATGATGATCCCGTGATGATGACGATGATGATCCCGTGATGATGATGATCCCGTGATGACGATGATGATCCCGTGATGACGATGATGATCCCGTGATGACGATGATGATCCCGTGATGACGATGATCCCGTGATGATGAAGATGATGATGATGATGATTCCCCCATGATGATGATGCTGATGATGATGATCCCCCGATGATGATGACGATGAACCCATGATGATGATGATGGTGCTGAAGGTCCCATGGTGATGATGCTGGTGATCCCATGATGATGGTGAT